TCTTATGGCCACGGATGCCATAATGGTGCTACTGAGACGAGCACGGAACATCAACGCATTTGACACCACTAAAATGGACACTTTAAAACGTTCAAGGGGGCGCCGTGGCGCCTCAGTCAGTTGAGCGTCCGACTTCAGCTCAGGTCACGATCTCAGGACTCAAGGGATCAAGCCCCGCGTCAGGCTCTGCGCTGACAGCTCGGAGCCTGGAGGCTGCTTCCGATTCTGTGTCTCCCTCTCTCTCTGTCCCTCCCCCACTCATGCTCTGTGTCCCTCTCTCTCTCTCTCTCTCAAAATTAAACATTAAAAAATGTTTAATACATTTTAAATAATAAATAAAAATAAAATGGTCAACAGAGCGAACTTGATATCACGTACATTTTACTACAATAAAAGAACCCTAACAAAAAGTCAAACCAAAAGTCCACGTACGCGACAACGACCCACGTCTGCACGTGCACGTGTCTGCCGCACAGCGGGAACAGTCCTCGTGAAAACGCAGGGTTGGTACGTGCGTGAACGGTAACGGGTGTATCTTTATGGAGGGAAATCTTGCTTACAGCGTCTAAACTCCACTCTGGAAAGGACGAACGACTTCATCGCCCGTGATCTTCTGAAAGACCACATCTTGGAGAAGCTTCGGGGCCTTGTCGTCAGTGCATAAGGACCGTCTGGCCCCCTCAAGTCTGGACCTTAGAAGAACCACCTGCTTAAATGGCCCGCGATGAAGTCACTCACCGAGGCCCGAGGCCCGGCCAGGGCAGCGCCCCGAGAGCTGGGCCATCCTCGCCGCTCTGTGCCGGGCCTTTATCCGGGCCGCGCACACACGCTTCCCGCTTGTCACAGGAGAAAACTCCCCCTCCCGGGGCATCTGCCTGCTGTCCACTCACGGTGGCCTCTGCAGGGAGCAGGTGGCCCGGGACTCCGCCCCTCCCCCAGCCACGGGCAAAGAGCCTTCCTGCTCCCATATTAACAAACGCTGGCTGAGCGAGTGAGACTCCCGTGGGACCTCAGGACGCCCTCAGGCAGGGGTCTCAGATCTGGCACCAGGGACGGACTCCCTAGTAGAGTCCCTAGTAGAGAAAGCATGCACGTGGTGTCAGAGACCCCGCAAAATCCCCCCAGCGCCCGAGCGCGTCAGCCGTGGCGGAGAAGTGACAACAGGCCGCAGCCGGGCCCTGAGGCACCGGCTTCTGTCCGCACCGTCTGTCACACACCTCGGAGCTCGTCTGGCGCTGCCTTTGACAAAGACGTGAAGGCTGGTCACCCGCTCTTCCCGTTACCAGTGGCTCGCGGTAGCCCGCAGCCTAAGCAAAGCAGCCCTTTGCAGCCGGACTGCAACCCCCCAGGGCACAGCTGTTGGGTTCCCAACCCCAGGACCTTAGACCGTAAGCTCATCTGCAGACAGGGTCTTTGCGGATGTGATCATTAAAATGAGGTCACGGGGTGGGCCCTCAGGCAAGGTGACGTGTCCCCACGGAAAGAGAGAAGGCCGTGTGAGGATGGATGCAGATCGGGACGGGAGCACCGCAGGCTGACCCTGGGGGAGGCGTCTGGGGCAGGCCGGGCCCGCGCCCGCAGCCTCCAGGACCGAGTGTGGCCGCCTGGCCTGCGGTGCTTTGACCCGGCGGCCCCAGCAGGCCGACGTGGTGGCTACGGTGACCATGACTTGGCGAGGATACGAATCCCTCGTTGTCAAGTAGGAGGAAAGCACTCAGTCTCCTCCCCCGACTGTGACAGGCCACCCTCCTCTTCCAGAGCCCGGTCCTCACCTGTCACCTCCTACAGCAAGTATGATCAGAGAACCTTCCCGCCCCCTGCCCTTTGCCGGCCACCCCCCGCCCCCAACGCGAGCTCACAGCCTCCTGACGACTCGCACTGTCGCCACTCTCCCGCCCTGCCCGTCTGCTCCCACTGTCCCCTTCTTGCCAGGTGGCACCGCCATTCACTCAGGTCCACACCAAAGCCTCTTGCCCCGCTCCTACGTCCGCTCTGCCGGCCAGCCCTGAGCACTGAGCCACAGCTGACAGCCGTGTTGCCTCCCCTCCGCCCCCCGCTGGATGCTCAACCGTCTCTGGCCATCGCCGCGTGTCCCCTGGGGGCCAACCGTCCCCGGTGGAGAACCTCCTCTCCATCTCACGCTGATGCCCTTCAGCCACACCTCCGAGACACGTCGCCTGGCGGGCACCACTTGGGAGCAACCCCAGCAAATGACTGCAGCCCTGATAGTGAGGGTCTGAGGCAAGGGAGGAGGCCGCAGGGACAGGCACGTCACCTGTGGGTGGGCCTGGTGGCCAACACTCACACCCACGGCCCCGCTCCACAACCGTGACCTCAAGAGTAAGCAAAGTGGATGAGGGCCACAGGACTGTTGCACGTCAACTGGGAACGACAGCCTTTCAAACGAAAACTGCCCAAGCCGGCTACGATGGGCAGACCCACAGCCAAACTCTGTCAGCGGCGGGCACGTGAGCTGTCACGACAAGGCCACAGCCACCCAACGGGGCCTCCTCCACCCAACAAAGCCGTAGCCACTCAACAATGCCATCTGGAATTTCCATAATCCCATTTCCAAAAACTGTACTCAACAAACAATGCCACACACAGGGGGAAAAGGCCACGTACAAATGTGTTGGTGTGGCATTATTTTCAACTTTGAAGAAAACCACAAACAACTCAGTTGTCTCGTCATGAGGGACAGTGTTGAGAAAACTTCAACGTAGGGTCACACGCCCAGCCGAGTGAGGTCCGTGAAAAGCACAAGTACGCGATATAAAATGGCATTTAGGGGTGCCTGGGTGGCGCAGTCGGTTAAGCGTCCGACTTCAGCCAGGTCACGATCTCGCGGTCTGTGAGTTCGAGCCCCGCGTCGGGCTCTGGGCTGATGGCTCAGAGCCTGGAGCCTGTTTCCGATTCTGTGTCTCCCTCTCTCTCTGCCCCTCCCCTGTTCATGCTCTGTCTCTCTCTGTCCCAAAAATAAATAAACGTT